TGAATAATAAACTGTCTAAGAAGATGACGTCACAGTCTTCAAACACCGAACAAATGCTTTGGCGTCATGCTACGTTTACCAGAGTGTCATAGAGTTTGCCCATGCCAAAACTTCCCTTTCAGGGCATCGAAAACATGAGCAAAAGAAGATGGCCAAATGAGAGGGAAAGGGTGAAAACAAACACGTCTCATGCGAAGGGCGGAATGGCTCATTTATATCATCACTGCTATGGAGTGACTGTCATTACCCAGGTTTACACAGGTGTTCAATTCGGTTTCTAGAGTTTGACCATGGCAGTAGCTTAGTTCCTACGTACTATTGCCAGAATCGCCCTCGCATATTCTGTGCGTCAGAAAAACGTCACAAATTCAAGGGTGTCTTTTGGTCCACTGCGCTTATTGTTCTTAAATCAATAAATATATTTTTTTATCAATAACTACTCACAGGAAAGTGACTCATATCTAAACTAACGTGAGCTGTTAATTCGATAAAATGCAAATTTACAACTGGCAATAATGTACCGTATAAAGAAGCATTCAAGGCAGATTTGGATCAGCGTTTTTTAGTGATGCTTTAATTTTTCCTTACTTACCTCTGATTTTTTAATATTACTCGGTAAAACACGCCTGTCGAAAGCCATTTTTTCACGCTCTTTAAATTCCATTGATTTGGCGGATATCTCTTGTCCGCGGTGTCTGTCACATATAAATTACTCAGTAACCAATTTCAAGTTAATAGCTCTGTCATTTTCATGCCATAATTCAGAATTTCTGCTAAATGTGAAATGCTCTATCACGTGACTGGTTAGATATATCCCTGGACGCAGTCAAACGGTTTTAGACAGCACCAATAATGCAGATACATGCAAAGGTGAACTCAAAGCATGCGAACGTCACTGATACTCTGTGGAATGGAATGGAATCGAACCGCTTCAGAATTATGCGTGAATCTTCTACACAGTGTTTTAGGAAACGACGGCAGTCGCTTACAACAGACCGTAGTGCCCATCATTAACAGCGGGATATGCAACGATGGGCAGCACTACAACGGCGCCATCGATGACAGCATGATTTGTGCCGGCTACGAAAACGGTGGAAAGGATGCTTGCCAAGTGAGTTATATGGTAGTCAAAGAATGTGGTAAGATATGATGTTTCAGGGGGACAGTGGCGGTCCCCTGGTTTGCCCCGCAGACGATGGTCGCTGGATACTTTGCGGCATTGTCAGCTGGGGATACGGTTGTGCCAGACCTCAGAAGCCAGGTGTTTATTCTCGTGTATCAAAATTTTCTAAATGGATCATGAAAATTATAAAAGGCAACCGCAAAAATTTAATGACGGAAAGGCTGTTTTAGTTATTGTTTTACTCTGATTAAAGTTTTATCTATGGTTCATTGTAAATCACAAGAAACTCTCTCTTCAATGAGCTCAAAAATCTTATACGAAACTGTGTAATAGCGGAATGCTTTGATTGAAAAAAGTGAAACAAGGAATGAACGAATGTAT